GCGTTTTTTTTTTTTACAAAATATGACAGTGATAAAATATTAGCTAAAACATTAGTGACTCTATTGGTAACAAGCGACAATAAAAAACAATCGTGCATGCTATATAATTTAAGTGTTTTTTTTAAGTCCGTTGCAATATGACAACACGGGGCGTAATGTGAACTGTTCCTCTTTTTACCAAGTACTGATAAGTTCGCTAGCCCAAATTGACCCCGTGTGGCAACGCAAAATACCGTCATGTATTTGACGGTGTAAAACAAAATCGTTTGTTTGTATTTTTGTAGTTTTGCAGGTGATTAACTCATTTCATCTAGCCCTGAACTGCCTAATCATATTATCGTATATTTCATTGTACAAGTGTTGAAGTGGTATACAAATGCAGTTTGTCTGTTGTCAATGTCTTCCCGGCAGCGAAGGACGTTCATGGATGAAATACTATATGAGGAAACTGCCTTAATTGCCGTCTGGAATAGGTTTAATTTTGAATAGATTGTCGTTTCGGTGAAGGCTAGCTCTGCAGTTATCCTCATTGCGAAAACCTCTGCTTGAAAATATGCGGCAATGGTCAGGTAGCCTTACTGTCTGCCTGACGTTCAGTTCCCGGCATTAAATCCCGGCACCCACTACCGTAACCATTTTAGAGCCGTCCGTGAAAATGTTTAGGGATCTACGGCTAGGTTTCATTCCCTTGCGCCATCCCTCCTCCTCAATCGTCTGTGCTGCTTGTGCTTCCCGGCCCAATTAAGCGGTTCAGATTCTGAAATTGAATTTCCCTATGTCCGTCAATCTACGTGCGGATTTCGCAGCACGATTTTCCGCAAATCGGCCAATGGGCGGGAAACTAAGGGTTTTTTAAAGAGGAGCCGTCGAAGTGGACCTCAGCGCTCCCGCGATGCACAGTGCCGCTAGGCGCTGAACCTTCTACATTGGCCCGAGGTATAAGGACTTTTTTGCCGAATTCCAGCATCAGAGCAGGTGACAAACCCCAAGCGACTCCTAGCATTCTTTTACATGCATAAAGGGCGTTACTGGCCACCTTCTCTCTTTCTTCAACATTGCGCATTCACAGCTGTTTACTATCGAAGACTACTCCCAAATACTATGTGTGGCCTTTAATTGACAGCTCGATGTTACATAACCTCGGGGGTTTCCATACTTGTGACTAAACCTGGCAAAATGTGATCTGGGTTTACGTTTGAAATGTTTTGCAAATTTTCATACTAAAAATTAACTTCTTCATCCTCGTTGTACGTAGAATATGCATATAGTTATTATCAATAAATGTATTAAAACTTATAAATAATGTTTCTATTATGTCATATTTTAACCAAATACTGCCCTCTAAGAATCCATCTGGAATGCGCCCCGTGTTGCTATATGGCAACGGCCGATATCAGGAGAACTATACTACTCCCAAAGTTTTAGTCATATTTTTTCCTTTACTTTAACGCTACTTTTACCCTGTATATAGATGAAACGAAAAAAATCGAAAAAAATTAATCTGGGACAATTTGGTTTAACACTATTTATTTTCCACTTGGAACTTAGAAACAATGAAGTTATTGAGAGCCGAAGAACTTTTGGATACTGTACACCGCGCTTGCCAACAGTGAAGACGTCTTGGTAATTTTCCTAAAAGTGATAAAACCCATAACTAACTTTTGCTTCTTCTTGTTCTTTTTTGGCGCTGTAACCGCCTAAGCGATTTTGGCCGAGTTCAGCAAAGCACGCCAGTCGTTTCTCCTCTGTGCCAACTGACGCCAATTGGAAACGCCAAGTGAAGCGAAGCCCTTCTCTACCTGCTGTTTCCATCGCAGTGGGGGCCTCCCTCTTCCTCTGCTACCACCAGCGGGTTCCGAGTTGAATACTTTCAGAGCTGGAGCGTCGGTGTCCATTCGAACAACATGGCCAAGCCAGCAGAGCCACCGTATTTTAATTCGCTGCACTATGTCCATATCGTTGTAAAGCTCATACAGCTCATCGTTCCATCGTCTGCGGTACTCGCCGTCGCCAACGCGTAAAGGCCCGTAAATCTTCCGCAAAATCTTTCTCTCAAACACTCCAAGAGCCGCCTCATCGGATGTTGTCATTGTCCATGCTTCTGCGCCATATACCAGCACGGGCATGATGAGTGACTTATAGAGCGTGGTTTTCGTACGTCGAGAGAGGACTTTACTCCTGAATTGCCTACTCAGTCCAAAGTAGCACTTGTTGGCAAGAGTGATTCTACGTTGGATTTCAATGCTGACATTATTATCGGTGTTAATGCTGGTTCCCAAGTAAACGAAATTCTCTACTTTCTCGAAATTGTAACTGTCAACAGTGACGTGGGTGCCAAGGCGCGAATGTGCTGACTGTTTGTTTGATGACAGGAGATACTTCGTCTTGTCCTCGTTTACCACCAGACCCATGCGCTTTGCTTCCCTATCCAACTTGGAAAAGGCAGAACAGACTTCGCGGTTTTTGTTACCGATGATGTCGATGTCATCGGCATAAGCCAGCAATTGCACGCTCTTGTAGTAAATTGTTCCTGAGCGGTTCAGTTCTGCAGCTCTTATTATCTTCTCCAACATCAGATTAAAGAAGTCACATGAAAGGGAGTCGCCCTGTCTGAAACCCCGTTTTGTGGCGAACGGCTCGGAGAGGTCTTTTCCAATTCTGACGGAGCTGGTGGTATTGCTCAACGTCATTTTACACAGCCGTATGAGTTTTGAGGGGATGCCAAATTCAGACATAGCGGCGTATAGGCAACTCCTTTTAGTGCTGTCAAAAGCGGCTTTAAAGTCGACAAATAGGTGGTGAGTGTCGATCCTTTTCTCGCGGGTCTTTTCCAAGATTTGGCGTATTGTGAATACCTGGTCTATGGTGGATTTGCCAGGTCTAAAGCCACACTGATAAGGCCCAATCAGTTCATTGACGGTGGGCTTCAGTCTTTCACACAATACGCTCGATAAGACCTTGTAACCTATGCTTAGAAGGCTGATCCCGCGGTAGTTGGCGCGAATGGCGGGGTCACCTTTCTTGTGGATTGGGCAGAGCACACTTAAATTCCAGTCGTCGGGCATGCGTTCATCTGACCATATTCTGCACAAGAGTTGATGCATGCACCTTATCAACTCCTCGCCGCCGTACTTGAATAGCTCAGCTGGCAGGCTGTCAGCTCCAGCGGCTTTGTTGTTTTTCAGCCGCGTTATTGCTATACGTACCTCGTCATAGTCAGGCGGTGGAACGTCGACTCCGTCATCATCGACTGCGGGCTCGGGTTCTTCTTCTCCACAACTTTCTGTGCTGCTACCATTTAGTAGGGCGGAAAAGTGTTCCCTCCATAATTTAAGTACGCTCTGGACATCAGTTACTAGGTCGCCATTATTGTTCTTACAGGAGTGCGCCCCGGTCTTTAAACCTTCCGTAAGTCGCCTAACTCTCTGGTAAAATTTTCGGGCATTCCTCCTGTCGGCCAGCATTTCAAGCTCTTCGCACTCACGTATTTCTGCCTCTCTCTTCTTGTTGCGGCAAATACGTCTCGCTTCCCTCTTCAGATCCCTATAGCGGTCCCACATAGCGCGCGTTGCGCCCGATCGCAGCGTGGCCCTGTAGGCGGCATCTTTTTTCTCTGCAGCTTCCTGACACTCCTCATCGTACCAGTTGTTCTTTCGGGCTCGCTGAAATCCGACTACTTCTTCGGCGGCGGTACTTAATGAGCGGGAAATGTGGTTCCACTGCTCGCATATGTCGGTTTGTTGAAGAGTGCTCTCTGAGAGCAGGTGTGAGAGTCGAGTAGCGAAAGCGCTGGCTGTCTGTTGTGATTGCAGCTTTTCGACGTTAAGCTTTCCTTGCATATTTGGGCGCACATTTTTTGCTGCACAGAGGCGGGTGCGTATCTTGGCTGCAACAAGATAGTGGTCCGAGTCGATGTTTGGGCCTCGGAGTGTGCGTACGTCTAAAACACTGGAAGCGTGCCTTCCGTCTATCACAACATGATCGATTTGCTTTCTCGTCTTTCGATCCGGAGACAGCCACGTAGCTTGATAAATATTTTTATGCTTGAACCTAGTACTGCATACTACCATGTTTCGGGCCCCGGCGAAGTCGATCAGCCTCAATCCGTTGTCGGACGTTTCGTCGTGGAGGCTGAATTTTCCGACGGTGGTTCCAAATATCCCTTCCTTGCCCACCCTGGCATTGAAGTCGCCAAGCACGATTTTAATATTATGACGAGGGCAGCGCTCGTACGTGCGCTCCAAGCGCTCATAGAAGAGAGCCTTGGGTGCCTCATCCTTCTCTTCCGTCGGGGCATATTCGCAGATGAGCCAGATGTTGAAGAATCTCGCTTTGATGCGGATTGTGGCTAGATGCTCTTCCATCGGGGTGAACGACAGTACTCGGCGACGGGGTCTCTCTCCCACCACAAATCCAACTCCGAATTTGCGCTCCTTTACATGGCAGCTGTAGTAGACGTCGCAAGGCCCCAGACATTGCTTGCCTTGCCCCGTTCAACGCATTTCTTGGATGGCGGTCATGTCAGCTTTTGTCCCTACGAGGACATCAACCAGCCGGGCAGAGGCACTGCAGACTTCAGTGAGCCCTTAAATCGAATAAGTCGGAGTAGCCTTACTCTGATTGGTTACCGCATCTCCCACATGGGTTGCTCACGTTGCCCAGAGTGCGCGAACGAGGACGCAAGAGTCGGGATTGAGTACAGCCATGCAACTGTAACTGCATACCCAGCGCAACGACTATACCCCATTGCACTCCCCACTAACGTTTACTAATTTATTTTAAAGGCTTTAAAGTTCACCCCACTGTATGTATGAAATCCTTAGCAATGTGAATAAGAAAATGTAAACAAATAAAAGTCAAACTCCGAGTTTCTTAAACAACTCAGTGTGAACGCTTGACGGTTGTTCGTAAACACAAAAGCGTAAACTCGAGTTTATGGCGCAATGTGAACCTAATATTATGCAATGAGGCTGATTATTTCCTTGGGAATAAAAAGGTGATTATTGAACGTGGTAAAGATTTCAGTTTATTTGTTGACATCATAATTGGTTTTATAAACATTGGTTTCAATTGATGATTAAAAATATTAATATACATATACCTTTGTCTTCATCAGAGACGTTCAACTTACATTACACACAAACATTGAGTTTAAAACAACTAATTTTCAATTTGTTGAGAAGGGATTACATATCTATAGACACATACATAAATATGTATGTGTACTCCCAGATTAAATTACAATTGTTAAAATCGAGAGCAGAATACGTATGTACATATTCAAAATTTTTCAAGATAACCTGCTCTGTTGTCTATTAATGCGTTGGAAACGGTAGAACCGTGCTCAAGTCAAAGCCTTGGCATTTTGAGATAGTTTTTTAGTACATTCATACGTATCAAAATGGCCCAATAATGCGCTAAATGTGTCTTGGGCAGGGACTAGGAAGCACTCCAACCAACCAACCCACATTCATACGTAAATATGTACGAGAGTACACACGAGTTTGTGTTCTTTAATGTGCATTTGAATGCAGCCTGTTTAGTGAATTAGTGCTACTGGGATTCTCGACATTTACTTATAATTACAATTTTGCACTCAGTTACATATCTATGTATGTACATATGTACTATTTCGAATCAAAGGATCGTCATCAAATTTCGCATAATAACGGAAAAAAGTTTCGATGCTGAGGCTGAGGCCGAGGCAAAGAGGCATTCGAGGACTTTAGCGTGTACTTTTCACATTCAGGTTTTAATTAATACAATTTATATGTTTATATTATAACTTTTGTGGATATTGTTTATCAGTGTATCTTTAATGTAGGTATTGTAATATGCGTGATCTCTGACGTGCAGCAAACGTTCTTTCGCTTTAGCGCGCATGATTTTTACAGAAGGGACGACCACCCTTGTTGTAAAAGCTTTGACCTTCCAAATTTTGCTTGCAGTACTGTAAAAAGATGTAGCATTAGTTAAAAGGGTAAATACTGTAATTTGAATTTGCATTAACTAGTTACAAACTTACAGTGCAATTGAAGCATTGGCTGTGATAATTGTGGTTCAGGGCTTCAACCCATCTATCACCTGCCTCAACTGGAAATCCGCAAGCGAAACATTTGGTTGTAAAGAGTTCATTCCAATCGGCTTCGCAGTAGGCGTTTCCATCCTCCAGAAAGAAGGGGGTGTTACCGAAAAGTTTGCCACAGTGGCCGCAAGTGAAGCATTCTGGATGGAATTGCTTTCCAATGGCGTTCAAACAATCGCCCTAATAAGAATTAAATTCAATAAAAGCTGCTACACATCCAGGGCGAGTGGGCGCAAACAACTAAACATATTGACACGTGTACATACCTTTATCTTGCCACCGCATTTGCTGCATGTCGGAGCCAAATATTTCTCAAAGCAGTACTCGCAGTAGAGATCACCTTTCTCCTCGACGAAACCGATGTCCTGCAATGGGCGACGACAGTTGGCATTTACGCAAATGAAATGCTCAGGACACCAGATACGTCCCAATGCGGTAATAAAAGGCCCCCTAAAAAAGAATATTTATGGAGATAGTTAGTGATATTTCGAAAAGGAAAACAGCTCAAGGGTTACGTTTTTCATTATCAAAATCGAACATCTAACGAGCATAAAAGTGGCCTGTTAGGTTCTGGAAGATGTCTACTCACTTTGTTATTTCGATATTGCACTGGCAGCAAATCGGTCGCTTACCATCTTTTAATAACTGACCTACGACTTGTTCATTTTCCGGCGACATGACAGTATTTAAAGCCTCCTCACTATCGTCAGTTTTGGGGCCCAATGCTTTGACGCTAATACTGAATGCGGGGCCATCTCGAGCGCTATCACTAACGTTGACATCCTTCGGTTCGATATACGACCTACGATCCATCGCATGAATGGACAATTCGCCACCTCGATGACCCGAGCCTGAGTTTCGTGGTCTACCGGACTTCTCGCGGTATACTACTGTTTGAGGCTGACTTACTACCATCGATGGCGGCACATCTGCTGCTTGGCAGTTATTATCACAGTTTGTGCTAGCTGACTTCGCACCTAATGTATTTAGCGATATTAAAGGATCGCTTTTGTTCTCTATCTTCAAAGCATTTTGCTTATTGCTTTCACAAAGGTCAAGAACTTTGCCCATGGCACGGCTTGTAGGCAAATCCATTGGGAGAATAACATTTTCAGATATTTTCGGTGCGTGTGGATCCGTCTGTTGGCTTATAATCGAAGAGGCCGCAACTTGTGGCGATTGCTGGATGGCTACAACAGGTTTTAAAGAGACTGGGTCGGAGGGATCAATATTTTTAAAGTCGTCCAAATCGAAACGCTTGCGAATGAGCGTTGGGCTTCGCGACTGATTGGAACTGCAATTGCTACGTAAACTGGATGTACTGCCGCCATGTGAGGAAGCCGAAAATGTGTGGCCATTGCTAGCCAAGCGAGCTTCCAACATGTTAGAAATTACTTTTCCTGCTTCCGCCATAAAGTTGTCCATTTTATCTGCCATATTTATGCGCCCAATCGATTCTGCCAACATTGCGGTCGCTTCACCGTCAGCTCTTGAGTTAGCACCCATTTCAATATTGTCCGACAGAATTTTATATTTTTTTTCATTTATGTTGTCTTTAGGTATGGCGTTAGCGTTAGTGGGTTTAGTGCAAAGCTCTGTAAAACGAACAAAAATGAAATACCAAGGCATAAAGCCAAGGACACGATTAGGTTAAATACCGCATGCAGTTTACGTATGACTATTTAAATTGAGCAATTATTGCGAAACTCAAAAATAATTTCAGCATTAAAAATACGTACATACATACATATAGGTACATATATATGTACATATCAAACTAAAAGAGCTGGCTATTAACAATATTAGTGGTTACCATCTAAAAGTAAAAAAATGTAAGGGGCAATTTTCATGAATGAACAACATGCACATAGGGCGGTACAAAGTAAACCATATTTTGCATATCAACATCAGCGGGCGATAACGTTAAAACACCAATACATATTCGACTCAGCATGCGGTCATCACCTGATTTGGATGTTGCAGCTGTTACACAAAGGTACGCGAACACCGGGACCGACCGCCTTGTTAAAGATTCCACGTCCACGCTTTGGAGCCGAGGTGGCGCCAAAGGCTCCCTTGCCTCCTACACCTGTAGAACCGCCGAAATCAACGTTAGACTTGTTGTTATCAATGGTATTGGGTGGCGGAAAAGAAGTAGGCGCGGCAGCAGCGGCAGAACCAGTGCTTGAGGAAGGCGGCGCTGTGTCAGTGGCATACGCAATAGCATTGGCCGCGGTAGCGATAGCCGTTGCGGTGGTTTGTGCATTAGTCTTAATATCCGTTATACCTGTGGAAGCGTTCGGCCGATATGTTACGTTATTATTCTCAGTATAATTAACTACGCCAGTTGCAATGGTTTGCGCTTGCAACTGTTGCTGTCGGCAGCAAGTGTGACCTGGACGACAGAATGTCCCCGTTACGGGGCAAATGGCACTGGCGGCGGCGGTCGTGGCACTTGCCGCGTCAGCTTGATTATTATTAGTAATAGAAGCTTTTGTTAGACTGCTAACGTTAGCGGCATTAGCTTGCTGTGATAATGATGATGCTGTGCTTGTGGAAGTTGTGAAGTTGCTGCTTGAATATGTACTTAATGATTTTTGTTGTTTCGAAGCCATAGATGCTCCATATGTAGTTAAAGCATGAAAGGAAGACAACTGTTGTTGATTCTGTTTCTGCTCATTTTCTTGCTCATTGAATCCTGGCGGGGGACCAACCATTTTGTTGTAAGGGGTCGCAGAAAACAGATAGCTGGGACGCTTAGGTTCATCGTGTGGAGGAAGCAATGGTTTAGTCGGAAACTTCGATACCGGTTCAGGAGAACTTATTTGTGGAAATGATGTATCCGTTAAAGCAGCGGCGCGTGCGCTAATTGCCTGCGACTGACTTGTCAAATTTGTAATCTCTTGTTCCAAGCCGGATAATCGGCGCGCTTGATTAGCAACATAACCTGTTTTGCCGTATGATTGACGGCGCTCCGTAGCTGACGAAGCGGGAGCGACTGCAGTAGTTTTTGTGCCTGTACGAATCTCTACAGAACGGGCGCTTTGAGTGTGTTCATATTCTTCAGTTACTCGGCGTCTTCTCTCAATCTGGGTATCGCCAATTTGCATTTTTGTTTGGCTTTCCAAGCTCGATTGCTTTTGATCGGATTTGTGGGACGCTTTTTCTTGGCGTTGTACTGTGTAATTACCAATTTGATGTTCCTGAATTCTTTCGGGTATCTTAGTGTAGCTTTGACTTCCTGTTTTGCTAGTTTGTTCTAGATGTGATATAATCTCGGTTTGCTGTTGTTGTTGAGCTCCCAAGTAGCTTTGTCCAGTGGTAATTGAGCCAGCTTGAAGTATACGCGGAGATAAGGAAGACAACTCATTATCTTTCACTCGTGGTGTGCGGATAGCTGCTAGCGGATTTGGTGGTGGGCCCGGAGCAGGGGATCGTGCACGGTCCGGGAATGGTGAAGCTGAGCGTCGATCATAAGTGCGAGCATGAGAGGCTGGGCACTCGTCAAAGCAGAGTGCTTCCGGCGTTTGATAAAAGGGAATTATTGGAACAGGTTTATTGCTAATTGATGGAGTGTAGGGTCGGTTTGGTCTTTGTGATTCGTCTAATTGTAAGTGTTCATCAAGGGATTGAAAAGCCATTGTTACTTGGGGAGTCACTCTGTCTTCCACTATAACAGGCACGACTGGTCGTTTGGTTTGAGTTTGCGATTTTGTCCGTTGTTCAGTCAACGAAGATTGCTCTTGTCTCTTCGATTCGTTTGCAGTAGTTGTACTTATTTGGGCCACAGGCTTGTGGACCGGGTTACTTGATGAGTTTGCAGCAGGTGAATCTACAAAAGCGAGTGGGATATTTTCTCGAAGTTCGCTTGGCTCTGGAGTGCGAACAGGACTTTGTGTGGGCAGTTTTGTCCAATTGCGTTGATATTTTGGTATCGTATCAGCTTTGTGTAAACCGGACATAACGGCTTTACCTTGGAGATGGCTTAGCGGAGATGGTGGTGGAAAGAGCACTTCAGAATGTTCAAGTTCTTCTGTGGTTTCGTCAATAACTTCTTGCAAATCAATTTTCGTGTCAGAGAGGGCGGTGCCGGCATTACTTTGATACGATGAACTTGAAGCTTGAGTTGAGTTGGAGGCGTATGTGCTGGTAGAAGTGGTGTTTGATTCTGTTTGGACTGCGGAAGAGGATGCAGAGGAAGAACTTTGTTTGGTATAGGAATTTAATGAGGACGATTGACATTGTTTAGTCTGTGATGTGTCTAGTATTTTAATTTCTTGAACTTGTTGTTGTTGAAGTTCTTCTTCTTTTTTATGGTAATAATCAATACGTTTTTTATTGCGCTCTTTAGCTTTATAATATCTTTCATAATCGGGATCAGACTCATGTTTGGAATAGGACGTAATAGATTGGCATGGAGTATTGGAGATAAGTGGCGCTTGGGTTGGTTGGAATGCTTGCATTGCCGCAAATGCGGACGATTTTCGTTGCTGGGAAGTGTTACGCTTCTCCGTTGTATAGTATTGGATAGACTCACTGTCAAGTGCGGTAATGCCTAATTCCTTCTCTCGGTCAAGAACTTGAAATTCATGTTTCTTTTTCTCCTTTTCTATTTCTTGTTCCTCAAACAAGTGTGTGAAATTTGCTGGATTGAGCGGTGTATATGCCCGTTCGGGTGCAGTACGTAAGGCATCGGACAAAGTAAGGTGCTCCTTAGGTGTGGGGAGATCGAGCAAATGAATAGGCACGTCTCTATCGAAATGACCCTCAAAAGGGCGTTCTGGTGCTGTTGTTAGTGCGCTTAAAAAGGGAGATTTGGGCCTATAGTCTTCCCGCATATATGGTTTCATATCGATTGGTGGTGGCATATATGGAGTGGTTTCTTCGGGAAGTGGGATCATTTCAGAAGGGGGCGGCTGAAAATGCACTTCCCACTCTGGCGCGGTAGTCATAGCACTTGCGAGTCGTGAACCTTTCGGTGGATCTTCCTCGATCGGTTTAATTTCTTCTGGCACTTCGGTTTGTTTAACTTCCTCTCTTTTTATAGTTTCTTCAATATGTTTATCTGTTTCCAAAGCTACGAACTCACAATCGCAAGGCTTAGGGCATGGACACTCCACTAAGTGAAATGGCACATCGGGTGCCGTAGTCAACACCCTAACCAAAGGATTAATCCACTCTTTCGGCACTGGGTTCGGAATTTTCGATGGGGGTATTTGACGCACTGGAGGAATTTCAATTTTAATCTCAGGAGTTGGCTGAAATATTCGCTGACACTCCAGTATTTCACTACGTTGAGTTTTAACAAAAGTTTCGCCTTCCTCTTTGTTTTTTTGACAGTTTCCGCATTCAATTGTAGAATTTTTACGTTCTATATCATTTCTTTCTGAAGTGTCTGAGGTAGTAGTTTCAGTTTGTGAGGTCATTTTCTTACCAGATTTTGTTTCTTCTGGCAAATTTTCTTCGATGACTTCTGCTGGAATTTCTTTTGTCTCGGGTTCGTCCAGGAAAACAACATGCTTAGGACCCAGATTGTTTGGAGGAGGAATAGGGCTGGGCGTTACTTCTCTCACCATATCAATGAGTTTGTAAGTGTTCAATGGAGCAGCCAAGGATTCAACGCATTCCTGAGCACTACGGCGTCCAGAAATATACTCAGACGAGCTTATACAAGACGATTCCTGCAAATTCTGTTGCATTGTAGCCACTTCCATATCCATATGGTAGTCTAACTCAGATCCAGATTGCTGCTCATAAACTTGTTGCATTTGATAGGCTTGCACCTGAGCGGCATACATTCGCTGATATTCTTCTGAAGTAGTAGTCGTTGTTGTGGAAGTTGAAGTAAAACTTTCCGAACTGGATTCGATTTCGGGCGGCTGCAATCCGATAGTCAGCTGGGGTGCCGACTTACTTTGCCAATTCGGTTGACAATACTGTACTTGTTGCTGTTCTTTATTCTGTGACCGAGATTGCCCCTTATTCAATTCATTTTCAGATTGTGGTTGTGGAATTTTCAGGGGCTTCGCTACTGCATGTTGAGTTTCCGGTGGAGGAATATAAAGTGGAGCTGCTGTCGGTACAACGGGACTGTCTTCCTTGGGTGGAGGCCAAGAGAAGTTATTACGATTTTGCCGATTGGCATCTGCTAAATCGAGGTCTTCCTCGAAGTATTCAGCTCCTATTGCTGCTGTGGAGTCACATTCTTCCGCATATTGCGGTTGCAAGCTAGGATCGTTATCTGCATTTTTAACGGGATAATTTAAGGACCGGATGGTTGGTTTCCAAGTCAAGGGGATTTCAAGTGAGTCCGGTTTTTTTATGAGTTTTTTATTTGAATTTACGTTTTTTTTCGCATTTCCCAATCGTTGCAAATTTATTATAGCATTTTGAATCAGTGCAATATATAATTTATGTATATGAGTATGTACTCGTACATTGTACAAGTACAAATTAGGCGCAGACCAGTAGCACGATTGGCATTGAGTTTCAATTATTATATTTGCCGCGATTAACGATTCAGTATGATGAATGAGGTGTGAAGATGAGTACCACGGAAGTGTCGCAATTAATGGTTGATTTGCGATTGATTTGTTAATATGGCAATGTGTGAGTGTGAATGCAACATTAAATGTATGAATAAAAAAAGAAATAAAATACATATAAATATGTTAGAATTGCTTGCAAGCGTAAAAGGTGCAGCTGGGAATTTTATTTTTTTTCTTCAAATGTCGTGTTTGGAATACATAAGCAGCATATTGATCCGACTGATCAATTGCATGAATGTAAACAAGTAATTTTTAAGCAAAAAACACAACCGACTTCAATTCTCAATGAAAATTTAGGAGTCCCATAAATTTTTGTATGATCCAATGATCGAATCTAAACCAATTTAGTATGAGACACTACCTTTCCGATCGAAAAAGAGTTATCGAAATCGGTTGACGTGGTCTAAAGTTATGCGGTAACATACATTAAAAAAAGAAATATTCCGACGAATTGATAACCTTCCCTTTTTTTGAAGTCGGTTAAAAGAGGGTAAATCAAAGTTGATAAGAATTCTGCTTTCGAAAGTACGAGTTTTTAAGTGTATTTATTAAATTATAGAGGGCGCAACACACAGAAAAGTTTAAATTAAAAATTAAATGGTCCCACTTACTTATAACATAACATATATGGATGTACCTATGTTCGTTTTTTTACTTCATTGAAATGTTTTTGTCCCATTCATGGAATGGCTTATTGTTGATTTTTTTTTATGAATTTATTAAAACTCTTAAAATGCCTCTTCCGCTAATTTTGTAGAGAAATGAAACGAATATTGTGTCCTCCTGAAGAAAAATCGTTTTCTTACAAAGTCATCTTTTAAAATTATTTTATCCTCCCTTAGGTGTTTTTAAAAGTTCGAAAGCCTAGTACCCATTTTCGATCAATACTTAAGGATATCGGCTCAGCACATTCCTAGTATCAAACTAATAATCTGCCTTGTATTCTTGAAACCGTGAAACATTAGAAATATGTAAATACTTTACTGATCGGTGTGGGTTTCCTCTTATATATAGGAAATCTAGTGCTCCCAGATGTCAAATATATATGTATATAATAATAATAATAATATCCCAACGGTTTTTACCCTCCATTCCCGCCCATCCGCACGCGGGGCGCAGTCCGCATGACGTACGGAACCAGTATTTTCAATTTTTGCGCCGAGTCACGATAGGCAGGAGTTTGTTAAGTGTCGAGATCAAAAACTGTTCAGCTACAGAACTAAATTCATCAGCCAATTTTATGTCTTTATTTTAATGATTCATTTATTGAGAGAGGACAGTATAGATTTCTTAATGCTGAAAAGCGGATCTGATATATCAAACGTGCTGGAATGAGAGTTAAAATCCTGGCATAAGCAACGGAGTGGGTCGTGCAATTCAAAATTAGTTTTACAAGCTTTCAGAAATAGGGGGCAAAAGTGTCTAGATACCCGGGAGGGAACATTAAGGCTAACTTCGCCAAGAAGAAGCGGACTTGAAATTGAGCCTGTTAGTAATTTAACTATAAAAATTGTACGAATCATTTGCCTGCGGCTGGAAAGTGTAGGAAGATTAATAAGTTTTAATCGGCTCATATAAGGTGGAAGGTTATATTGAGAATCCCAACGGAAATTTCTTAAAGCAAAAAGTAGGAATTGTTTTTGAATTGACTCTATCTTGTCTGAGTAAATTTGATACCTTGGATTCCAAACCACCGAACCGTATTCCAGAATTGGCCTAACTAATGTTGTAAACAGGGTTTTAGTGATATAAGGGTCACAAAATTCGTTTGACCATCGTTTCACAAATGCAAGTACACCTTTAGCCTTGTTGACTGTCACATTAATATGAAGATTAAAATTAAGCTTAGGATCCATTGTGATACCAAGGTCCACAAAATTGTATACCTGTTCCAGGTTATGGTTACCTATTGTATAAGAAGTGGGATGAACAGCTCTTCGCGAGAAGCTCATTACTTTACATTTCTTAAGATTTAGAGGCATAAGATTTACTTGACACCAGTAAGCCATGCTGTCTAAGTCTGATTGTAGCAAAGACCTTTCATTAATTGAAACGTACGATTTACAAAGCTTTATCATCTGCATACATTGAAATTTTGGAAAATTGTATATCTGTAGAAATATCGTTTATAAAAAGCAAGAACAGAACCGGGCCTAGGTGGCTACCTTGAGGGACCCCTGAAGTAACATCAATGACGTCAGAGATAGTATTTTTAAACATTACCCTTTGTGATCTATCATAGACGTATGAAGAGATCCAACGTAGAAAATTAGGTGGAAGACCAAGAAGATCAAGTTTGTAGATGAGCAACGAGTGGCACACTTTGTCAAATGCTTTACTGAAGTCAGTATATATAACATCAACAGTTTTGCTTTCACTAAATGCTTTTGATATGTAGGATGTTAATTCGAGTAAATTTGTAGAAGTTGATTTGCCCTTGCAAAATCCATGTTGACTATATGAAATGCTAGAAGAGATAGAATGCGTCAACTGATTTGTTATAATTGCCTCAAATAATTTAGGAATTGCAGAAAGCTTAGCTATTCCCCGCTAGTTCTCCACTGAAGATCTGCTACCGCTTTTATGTAACGGGGTTATGAACGATTCCTTCCATATAGTTGGAAAAACGCCCTCTTTAAGAGATAAATTAAATATCGCTGTTAACGGCTCATAGAGATAATTAGAACAATTTATAAGAATACAAGTAGGGATCTGGTCAGGACCATAACTGAAGGACTGCTTTAAGAATTTCAGATAAACTACTACATCATCGGGAGATCTTACTGGGATATTTATTGAGTTCATTGGACATAGTTTAAAAGGATAGTCAATGTTAGCATGTGAGTTAATGGAATAATTGGATTTAAAAAACTGAGCGAACATGTTAGAAATTGTTTGATTATCACTAGAGACGGTATTTTGATACTTCATGGCGGAAGGAAACCCACGTACATTTCGCTTGGAGTTTACGAAGTCATAAAATGATTTGGGGTTATATGTTATACGCCGTTTGATTTTACACAAGTAAGCTTTATAACACTTTTTGTTTAATTCAAAAAACTTATGACGCAAAAGTGAGTATTATACATAATATGAGTGTAAACCGGTTTTTTGTGTAATCTAAAATAACGCGACTTTCTGTTTTTCAAATTTTTCAGTTCTTTAGTGAACCATAACTGTTACATGCGTTTAGGCACATGCTTTTCAAATAATTTATGTAAAGTAAAGTTAAAAAGTGCAACGCTTTGTTCAATATTTTCTTTAAATGCAGGCCACGACAATTTAGACAGTTCTTTGTTAAGCATTTTAAAGTTGGCTTTCGAAAAATCAAAGCGAATATTTGGTTCGTATGCTTGGGTACTGCAATTTTGACCATCACTTATAACTTCGTAAGATACCTCCATAGCAGGGTGGTAGACATCTTACATTATTTTATGTATTTCCTTTTATTTAACCATCGTAAAGAGGATTGAGTTTTCAATAGTACTCAAAAATACCTTTCCAGCGTTTTATTACTGTTTCTATGACGTTGTGAGCCGGTACCAACGCCCCATGAGTTTAGTGAAGTTAATTACATTCTGCTGTACTAGTGTAGAGACAAAAATATCAAATAAGCTGTTCCAGCAACACCACCTTGTATAGATGCCCCTTGGCAAGAAACATTTGATTAGACTAATGGGATTTCGCAATTACAACCGGAAATGGCGTAGTTCGGTACAGAGTATTCCTCTGTCCATCTTTTTGTTTGGGGCACCTAAAATACAGGTCGCGTACTACTAGGCGCCCGCGAACTACCGGTTGGACAGCACTGTTCTAGAGTGTAAAAACACTCATATTTCAAAATGGTTCCCTTTTTCAAGTGAAACGTCTTAGGCGGCGGTATCGCAAAAATGGAGAGTGAAATTTTGAAAACTGAAAACGTTACATGAGTGAGAAGGAAGATGAAGGTAGTATAGGGAAGGGGAAAAAATAAATAAAGCGACGCATGACGGGTACAAGTACCTACATATGTATATACCCTGCAAAAAATGGGACTAATCCGGGATGACTCCGGGAGCAATCGCAAAGGAGCATGCGACTAATACCACTTTTGATCTCTTTATATGGAATGAATTGATCGCTTTTGTTCGAGCATGTCCTATGAAGAGACTAATTGTTCACCTTTATACCCGAACGGGTATGAGAAGCGCCTAGTCACTTTTAAAAAATAAAAATAAAAATTTGCGCCAGCTGAGATTCGAACCGGGGTGCTCAGTTTTGTTAGGCGAATACTCTCTCTGCGTGCCAACGCCGTACATGAAATTTCATTGACTAAGTGCGTACATATCATTAAATCGTTAATAGTACCCGTTAGAGATGAGTTGGGGACTAATTGATCTCCAATTATACCCTTAAGGGATGAGTCGAGACTAATTGACCTCCAATAGTACCCGTATGAGACTAGTTGGGCCTAATTAATGCCCAATTGTACCCGATTGAGAGTAATCTCGGAATACTCGCTTTAGAGATTAGTCGCACAATTTTTTGCAGGGTATGTATGTTTGAATGCACGCATGTATTTATACATATATACATATATGTATACATATATATGTATGTATGAACGAACTCATTGCGCATTTCAGCTCTGCCGCTACCAACCAATATATGTATAAATGATGCAAGCGTGCTTCGCGTAACTACATCCAATCGTACATATGTACATATGTATGTTTGTATGGATATATTTATGATGAAGCAAACGGGCTTCGTTGATGACTGATGGGCATATGTACATACATATTTACTTATGGACAGCATTGTTTCCATGTATGTACATATGTTTGAATGGTTGTATATACATTTGTACGTAGTACATATGTTTGTGTATGTACATACATGTTTGTGTACATGTATATATGCACATATGTAGTACAAACGAAAACAAATCTAATAAGCTGCTCATTGATTTAATCCGGACTGTACTGATTGTCTTTATGAAATTATGTGTTTGTTGCACATTTGTTCATGTTTGTCATTGTGCGTGTAATTTTTATACCCGAGCGTACTTGTGCACAAGGGTATTATAACTTTGTTCACATAACGGTTGTTTGTAACAGGCCAAACGAATCGAGATAGATATAGACATAAATGATCAGAATGAAAAGAGAAATCGATTAAGCGTTGACTGTCTGTCCGTCCGTCCGTCTGTGCACACGATAACTCGAGTAAAAATTGAGATATCTTAACGAAACTTGGTATGTGCACTTCTTTCGGGCGTAAGACGGACGGTATTGAAAATGGGCAAAATCGGACAATAACCACGCCTACCTCCCATATAACGGTAATTTTCAGAAATAGCAAAACTGCGATATTTTAGTAATGTAACGAAGCGTTTTCTGTGATGGCCCCGTCGCTTCTGTTTTCTATGCTGGGATATACTCGCCGTGCCCAGGGTCCGTTACAATAAATTTTTATTGTGGGGGCCTTTGCAAATAGTAATTTATTTATTTATCCTTATTCTCTATAACGTGGAAATTCTTAAGATTACAAACACAATATGATTAACGGGATGTAAATTCCTAACGGTGCTATTCTGTCGGCGCTGCTGCATCGTCGCTCGGTCGCGACGCCGGCGCTCTGCTGCTATGTGGCGTCGGCGTTACTATGCCGGCGCTCTGCTTCTGTGTGGCGTCGGCGCTCTGCTGCTATGTGACGTCGGCGTTACTATGCCGGCGCTCTGCGTCTGTGCGACGTCGGCGCTCTGCTGCTATGTGACGTCGGCGTTACTATGCCGGCGCTCTGCTTCTGTGCGACGTCGGCGCTCTGCTTCCATACGACGTCGGCGCTACTGTGTCGGCGCTCTGCTAGTATGTGACGTCGGCATTACTATGCCGGCGCTCTGCGGATGTACGACGTCGGCTCTCTACTGCTACGTGACGTCGGCGTTCTACTATGCCAGCGCACTGTTGCCCCACGATCGGGCGTCGCTGTCACGCGTGTTCGCGGTGGACTGTGGCGTGGCGGCGCTCTACCCTGTCATGCGCTACTCATTAGCAGTGGTGCTTTCACGACCACGGCTTCGCTAACGACGCTTAGATTTTGGGCGGCGTCGGTGCGCTCCTCTGGGCGGCGTCGGCGCGGTGCTGGTAGGCGAACTGGCGTCGCCGTCGCGGTGCTGGTAGGCGAACTGGCGTCGCCGTCGCGCGGTTTCACGGTTGACTGTGGGGTGGCGGCGCTCTACCTTTGAACAGCCAGGCCTTGTATAGTCGCCTATGTACAAGTCGAGAGCTATTCTTTAGTAGCTGTGCGTTCACGACCACAGCTCCGTGCTGACTGTCTCGTATGTTGCCAAGTCCCATCTGTTATAGCTGGTGTTCTTCGTGTTGCTGAGTTGTATGGCTACATGTTGCGTTGCTATGGTGACGGTGTCGCAAAGGAGTGTTGATACGGTCTCTCGTGTTGGTTAGCCGTTTCGATGATGTTGCTGTAGTCGTTATTGTTGCCGGTGTAGTCGTTATTGTTGGTGTAGGGGTTTGCGTTCGTGTGGGCTAAATTCCGCGGATATTTAGTCCTCACACTTCCCCCCCTCTTCGGCGGGCTTAAGGCTTGGGATGTTTCCTCCCTTTTCCGTGTTGCTAAGTTGTTGTGTTTCGGCCGTCTTGTACGCCTTCAGTTCGGCCAGGTTCGCCGTTCTTGTCCTCCCGTCGTCGGTCTTTCGTAGCTCCACGATTACCGGGTAAACGTATCGGAGTATCTGGTAGGGGCCGGCATATTTTGGGGCTAGTTTTGCCACAAAACCCTCTGCTGCCTTAGATAGACGGTGTTCTTTGGCGAGGACCAGCTCGCCGATTTTTGGGTTCCACTCCCGGCGACGCAGGTTATAGTGGCGCGCTTGGTCGGTCGTGGCATGTTCCATATTTTGTCTGACGATCCTGAATGCTTCCTGCATCCTTGTGTACTTTTCCTGGGCCGTCGGGGCTATTTCGCCTGTTCCGATATTTATTTCGTCGAAGAGTGCTCCTGGTAGTCGTGGTTTCCGTCCTTGCACCAGGAACGCTGGGCTGTATCCTGTGGAGACTGTGACGCTCGTATTTACGGCGAGTGTGATTTCTGGGAGGAGGTCATCCCACCGCCTATGTTGTGTCTTCGTAAGCTGTGCGATGATTCGCTTTACAGTGCGGTTGGCGCGTTCCGTCGGGTTCTCCTGGGGTGTATACGGGGCCGTAAATTGTTGGCGCACCCCCACCCCCTGGAGGTAACGCTGCCAGAGCGTGCTAGTAAATTGTACACCATTGTCCGAGATGAAGACCTTGGGTATACCAAATCGGGCGAGGATACGCTCCCTAAACGCGCGGCGAAGTCCTCCCGCTGTGGCCCGTCTCATGGGGACCAACTCGACCCACTTGCTAAATCTGTCGAAAAACACAAGTAGCATGGTGTTGCCATGCGTGGACCGTGGTAGAGGTCCGATGAAATCGGCACACACCGTGGCGAAAGGTTCTTGAGCGACCTGCGAGAGCATCTTGCCGGCTGGTTTGTGTTGTGCCTCCTTGTACTTCTGGCAGGACTCACATTGACGGACGTACCGGCTGATGTCGCGAAACATTCCTGGCCAATAATACCGATTGGCAATCCGTGCTACTGTTCGGCGAATACCCATGTACCCCGCGCTTGGTATGTCATGGTTCTCCCTCAGTACTCGTCGACGGAGGGGGCTGGGCACACACAGTTTCCAGGGGACTGCCTCCTCATCCTGGGATCGACA